CAGCTGCTAAACCTAGATGAATTGAGCTAGAAGAGGCTGAGTAATTTTGCACAATTTACTTTGCCTGGCCTATTAGATTGATGAGAAGACCATCACTTGGGCTTATGATTAGATGGCCCGTTCAGCTTTTATAATGAGGTCAGCGTGGAAAACAGCATTTTAAGACAACCATGAGTGAAAATGAGGCAGCAATAAAAATTTCCCAGAAGCTGGCTAGAATCTCTGCTGCTCAGAGTAGACTAGAATTTGCTCTTACTGGCTAGAAATTCTGGATACATTAGGGCAGTGGTGGCAAACTGATGACATGTGTTTTTCTTTCAAGACAAAGTTGTTAATGTATGAGTTTTTTTCTAAACCAAAATCTTAGAATTCAGGTTTAATTGCAGTGTTGGCACTTTGATAAATAAGTAGGTTTTGAGTTACAGTTTGGGCACTGTTACTAAACTGCTCTAGAGGAAAAAGTTGAAAGAGAAAAGGAGTTAGCAGATGTTATGCCAGTTAAAGAAAAAGCCAGTTTTCACCTCCTCCTGGGCTTACAGGCTGGTGCTCAATACCTTCTTTTTTCCAAACCACTATCTCAGACACAAAGGAAGTGTGAAAAAAAAAGCCTGTGAATTTCTGAAGAAATACAAAGAGCAAGAAACCTTAAAACCATTGTGCTGATGAGTACCCTGGCTATTACCTTGGATACACAAGGCCTGTGTTTATAGGCAGAGAACATCAGATCTGTAAGACAGATAAATCATCCTGAGCTGCTCTTGGTACTCAGTAATCCAACAGCAGTTTTGATACACCGAACACAATATGCACAAGTGTTACGAGGTTTGGGGTGCTAGTGTCTCCTTCTAAAGGTAGCTTCTGGATTTTTTTTTTTTGTCCTGAGCAAAGAACTGGTCAAGTGCAAATGGTAGCAAAGTTTTATCAACAGTAGGAAAAGAAACAGCCTCTATAGAGCAAGTTTGGGCGAAATAACAATATAAAAGAAGGACAGCCTGTAGTCTGATGGTGTACCACCATGCAGGAGAAAACACGGTTGCAGAAACCCTATGTGGACTCCTTTTGTATCTCCAATCCTTCAGCTCCTGACTTCAGGTGTAGGCCATCCTATTGAAAACCTTCTGGAGTTCTCTCAAGAAGTCCACATGCAGTTTTGGGAACTATTTTATGCATGTGTTCCAGGACCTTGTCACACTTTCTTTCCCAGCCATTTTTAGCCATGCCCTATCATTTTGTCTCATTTTTCCCTGAGAGACACATAGCCCCATATTCTTTATGGGGTGCTAAGGGAATAAAGGTCTCTGTCATCTATTTCTTCTTCAAGTGGGAAGGCTATCAACTCAACCTATTTGGGATTATGTGCTCTCCAACTACCTTGATGTGTTGTGGCTCACTGGCTGTGTTGAAGAGAAAAGCTGTTAGAAGACAGTAAGAAAAGAAATTGTGACTGTCAAGCTGTTTGATGGGAGAGAGAAATTAACTTTGTTATTTATGTTGGAGGTGTAGAACTCAAACATGAGAATTTCAGATGGCCATGCTTCTAGTGGTATGGCAAAGAGAGGTTAGACAAATTACTGAGAGCCCAACAGACTTAGCATAATGGATCCAATTAAAAACTGGCCTCAATACAGGTGCATATTTAAGCTGTGGTAAATTAGAGCCATAAGTGACTCTACTTATTTCTACCTGGAGCAATACCAGAATCTTACTTTCTGAAGAGGCGCCTTGGGTCTTCCATAGGTTCTTAGGAAGAGCTTTCCTTTTAGTCCTGTGAAAATTCTAGCAACCATTTGCCATGTAAGATTTTCATAGCTTGTCACTGAATCTTAGGGAAGGACAAGGAGAATATAGACATCTTTCTTTGGGATCCCTTGGAATGGGAATAATAGCAACCTTCTAGGAAAGGACTACCTCTAAAGGTTGTAGAATTTCCTGCTTGTGATTTATAGGTGATTGCTCATTAGTCAGCAAGTGCCTTTTTCCAGATAATTGCATGAGAATATAGTACCAAAACAGAGTGTCTGTATAAATTTATGGCTTCTTTTTCCTAATACCCATACTCAAGTAAAAGCAATGACCTCCACATTTGTTTTGTTTTATTGTTTTTTGAGACAGAGTCTCACTATGTAGCTCAGGCTGGCCTTGAATGTGTGATGATTCTTCTGCCTCGGCCTTCCAAGTGCTAGCTTTACAGGTGTGAGCTACCACACGCAGCTGTTACCTCTGATTTTTGAGCAAAGGTCCCTGGTGGAAGTTGGCCTCAAAGACCTGTTGTGAACAAACAACTACATAACTTGGCTCTCAGTGTACTTCTTGGACAAAGGTATTTCCATCTCTGAACTATACCTGCTCATCTTGGAGGAGCAGATCACTGATACATCCTGCTTGCTGGCTTAGGTCTGGGAAATTACTTATTCACAAGACTGCTAACTTCTGGGCTTGTAGGCATCAGAGACACAGGATTAAGAGGTAGTCCAAGTTTTTATAACAACCTCAGTGGTGACTAACAGCATGGCCTGAAACTTAGGCAAGCCATTTCTTATTAACCACAAGTAGTCTTTGGTCTCAGGAATCCACTGACCTGATGGGGAGTCAGAACTTTTAGTTTATGTTAGCATAGCTATAACTGCCACTGCTCTTGGGCAGGGTGGCCATCCAACAGCCACACCATGTAGTTTTTGAAAAGTATGCTACTTGGCCAAGTTCTTGTCTTGGCTTTGGCAATTCCTCTCTTTTTCTGATATGTAGAAGGGTTTTCTTTAGCCAGGTATCTTATTATACCATGCAGCAGGATCTACCTTTCGGCTAGCTTGGTCATGGAGACCTAGTGTAGACCCAACAGGTAAAATCTGTTTTGGCCTTTGTCAGAATTTGAGAATTGCCCCCTAATTTTGCAAGTAGATCTCTTCCTAGCAAAGGAACAGGACTGTGGGATAATTAGGAACACATTAAACATTTATCATTCAAAGTGACATGTCAGGAGGAGTACAGAATCTATCTGACTAGGGGATCCCCTCAACCCCAAGTATGGTTGTACATGGAGGAGGGATTTCCAGCAAAGGCCAAAGAGAAGTATGGAAATGGCTCACCATGACATGCAGGGTCTCCCCTCCACCTTGCTCAGGAAGTGGTGATGCACATGGACAGTGGCACTGCAGGTCCCCTGTACCTCTCTAGCGCAAGAATGCAGCTCCATGGGAGCAGGCACAGTCAGCCCTCCAGTGAGTCAAGTGCATCAGACTTCCTGCATTTGAAACGGGAACTCTCTTTTGTTACGTTTGCGTTTTTCCTTAAACAGTTAGATTTTAATCGGAGCCTTTCTCTTTTGATCCTCCTCCAGATCCCAATTGTTGAACACAGAAAAGGCATTTGGGTCACAAGTGTCTGGGGTCCCATCTAAAGTTTCTTCATTAAACAGATGAGAGATTCCTGTATCTCTCTGAGAGACAGGTGGGGATCCAAGGACAGACTCGTCAAAGATTTTCTCTTCCTCGGGGGCCACTCTATTATAGTTTGGACTACATATTATAGACTGGGATTTTTCACAAAATCCTGAAGATAAGGACCTTCTATATTTTAAATAGACACAGTTTAACTGAAACAGTTTAATCCACCATCCTGTACCTAATCAATTGGTAAAACTCAATGTGGATCTTTTTTTCTTTCTTTCTCCTTTGAGACAGGATTTTGCTATGTAGTTCAGGCTGACTTTGAACTACAATGATCATCCTGCATCAGCCTCCCAAATTCTGGGATTATAGGTATGCTCCACCACACCTGACCAAGATGCGCCTTTTGGTATCACCTATTCTTTCGGCTGACTTGAGGTTCAGAACATCCTGCCAAACACCTGCTAGAATTCTCACGAGAACTGCACGTGCAGAACTTTTAAGAGTTGTGTTCTAGGGACTTCTAGCACCTCTTTTCTTAGCCAGTTCTGACCACATTTTCCACACGCTCATAAGCAAAAGGAAGCCCTGGAGCAAGCGGAGCTGAGAGGAGATGAGGTTTCTGTGCAGCGCACAGGGAGAACTGGCTAAGCCATGGAGAAAAAGTAGAGCTTTCACGTAACTTCATTTAGCTCTAACCCTATTTTTGTTGTAAAGAGTAATTTCCGGTAACCTAAGGCAACAGTGATTCCAGTTTGTGGCCCCCAAATCAGTGATGTAAATCAGCGGTGGTGAATCCATGGCTTGTGTGCTATAGTGGGCTGTTTGTATCACTGAAAGTTCTAAAATGTTCATTATCATTGCTGTGAATCCTTTGTCTTTTTTTTTCTAATTTTCTTTGTTCTTAATATTCAGGTTTCATCAACTTATTCTTTGTGAAGGACACATATACACTGCCACTTCTGTGGGGTTTTTTGGGTCTTGGAGATTGAACCCAGGGCCTTCTGACTGAGTTACATATGCAACACTTTTTATTTTGAGACAGAGTCTCACCAAATTGCCCAGCTGGGCTTGAACATGTGATGTTCCTGACTCAGCATCCCGGAGTACAGGAATTCTAAGAATGAGCCATCACTCCTGGCTCAAAAAAACTTCCCTTAGTTTTAAACCTGCGTGCTGAATACAATCCCTTTGTATCACAAACATATACTAATTAAAAAACTACCTTACATTCAGTTTGACCCAAAGCAGTAAAAAAAAAAAACTACCTTACTGACTGTGTGTGATTTGAATCTTTTATATCTTTTGTCTCTTGACTTTTTTTCTAAATCTCTTTTAAATTTTTCTATTTCTCCTCATATCTTACATAATTTTTGTCTTGCAGAGATGGTAGTTCAGTTATTTCCCACGTTGATATTTGTAACTGTTATATCTTCATTGTGCATTTTGATCTAAAGCTTGCCAAATTAGAAATAACGATCCAATCATAACTTCCAATCAATGTAGTGTTGGTAAAAATATAGTATAAGAACAATGAAGCATTTTATTTGTCCTTCGTCCTACTTGCATTTCCTCAAAAAGAAAAAGCCTTTCTGTTTTATTTTCAATTGGCAGTGGTGAAAGATCTATCTGAAGGTTTGTTCTCTGAAGATGAGTTTGAGAAGGAATTCTCATTTCTGACGAGTCTCCTCCATCCTGGATCTTCAGGCACCAGTGGATTGGGCCAGGAATGCCAGCCTTCCTGTGGGAGCCCCACTGCCAGTGTCACATCCCATGGGGCTCCTGAGGGGTCCAAGCCTCCCGCCCATTCCTCCCAGTTCCTTCCTTCACAACTCTATGACCTTGGCCTTCATGCTCCTGGATCTTTCAACAGTAAGTGTTTAAAACATGTGGCTACATCCCTTCTTTTATCTTTATGAAGCAGAACTGTGTGCTTGTTAATGCTATAATCAACAAGGAGATCAATTTTAACTTTAGGACTGCTGGAAAAAAATGTACAGTCACAAGGCAGCTGGAGAAATACCCGATCCAGGTGCCTCTGGACTCTGCCAACAAGATTGACACAAGGGCTGTTTGCTTGCTCCATCCGCCATCTCCTGTGGCCCTGACTTTCTTAAGTGCCTGATTCACAACTCTTGACTTCTTCAGTTACCCATTCAGTTAGGCAGTACTGTTTCTCCTATCAAGCAAAACTTGATGTGCTTTGTTCCTGTGAGTTCAGAGTCCATAAGAGAAAAAGGAACAGTTTAGGTGGCTGGGTCTGAGTCAGCCTCCTGGGCAGGCCATCAGGAGTGGGGCCTGCTGGAGTAAGCTGGGGGTAGGGCTGCTCTGAGGAAAGGATCAGCTGCTCCTGCTCATTTGCAACTCCACTGTCCAGTGTCCAGATCTGCACCTGGGCAGGCCTCACATCGTACTGGTTACCAAGTCCTGCCCATTGTTTCTGAAACATTTCTCAGATTTCCCACTTTACTCCACCATTGGAGCCATCTAGAGCCTCATTTGATTTCCCAGGTTGCTACAAAAGAATTCTTATAGCTCGAAATTTAGATCAGCGGTGTAAGCGCCTGCCTTGCAAGTACGTGGTTGTAAATTTGATCCCTGGTACCAAAAAAAAAAAAAAAAAAAAAAGCTTATAGGCCTGCAATTCCCAGTTCTTCTCTTGTTTCCTCAACAAGTTTCTGATATTAGTACCCTACTCATATTATAAATTGTTTTTTTTTAATTTTAAAGAGGGTAAAATTAAACAACAAAACAGAACAAAACACAACATAACATAAGAAAGCAATGTAGGAGACATAGATTTCAAAGCAAGACAACCACAGATCTTCATTATCTAACATAGTGTCTCTTGTTTTCTTCCAAATAGTTGTCCATATCTTCACATACAGTGAATTCATACAAAACATAATAGAATAAAACTGATCCAAACAGGATGATGAAGGGGTTTTAGGTCTTCAAGACCAGACAATAAGGAAGTCAACAATGGCTGTCATAGTGTGTCTCATTCTTATCAAAATACCTGTCCATACCTTCACATATGTTGAAATTAAATAAAACAAAAAAAAAACTAAAATCACTCTGAACAAAGGATAATAGTATTGCTGATTTCACATCATGATGCTTCATGGGTACCTTAGTGTCTCTTTTTCTGCAAAGTAGTTCATTTCATCATGTGTTATATGATCAGTTCTGATAAACTCTTTATAAGTTCTAAGCATGCATGAGTCTCTACATGTATTTCTATCCTTTCTGTATTAGAGGGAAAACAAAGCAAGACAAAACAAAACAAATTCCTAGAAAAGCATGAAAGTCATATAAAACCACAATACAGGGTTATCTGCAGTGGTTACTTTGATGTCTCGTTAAGTCAATAGAATTATCTATATCATCAGGCATGATATAATTGAATATAGCAGTACATAATAATAAAAACAAAACATTGGAGACATTATAAGACTTCAAAAGCAAATAATAATCAAACCAGAGTGGGTATCCTAATGAATCTTGTCATCTTCAGTATAGTTGCCTATACTCTCAGACTTGATACTGTCAATCATAACAGATTCAAATAAAATCAGTCAATACAAAACGGCAATTTAACAAACCAGATTCAAATAAGATCAGTCATAATAAGACAGTGTAAGTTATACAGGGCTTCAGATTAAGTTAATAGTTAAGGATGATGATTGTAATATATCCTGCTATTTTTGATAGCTGTCTGTGCCCTCAAGTCTAGTACAAGTAGACAAACTGGAACAGAATATAATCCAATGTAGATTTTAAATCCTAATACACTATTAACAATATCCTCTGCCTTCCTTTTTTAGACACTTCCTTCCCTTTTACTTCCACAGGGTGCACTGCACATTTTGGGTCCCACCAACTCCCTCAATATTTAGAGGTGGGGGGCAATGGGAAGAGGGGCAACTTGCTATTTACCTAAGTGGTTCCAAACCTTCTCACTCCTGGACTTGATCTCAAGTTGTATTCTACCTACAAAAGCCTCAAGGTTTTCCTTCGTTATAGCTGAGTAGTTCTCTACTGCACAAAAGTATCATGTCTTTCCAACCTATCTGCAGGTGCTAGTTGAGTTGCATTGTTTTTCTCATATTTGACTTTCGGTCCATAAACTGTCTTTCAGGTTAATTATATTTCCTATACAGAGCATCTTGATGGACCCTACCTCCTGATCTACTCTGCCTGTGTTTCTTTTTGTTAGTGTATCAAGGCTGTCTATGTTAAGAGATTATAGCCAACCTTCTCTGCCTCATTTCTGCTAGGCTATTTTCCTGCCATTGGATGTCTACTTTTCTCCTTCATTCCACTGTCTGCCCCATTCATTGAGGCCTCTCTGCCACTGTTTCTGAAATCCTGGTATTTTTTTTCTCTCTCTCTTTAGAATGTCCTTCAGTATTTTTTGTAAGGTTGGATTGGTGGTCACAAATTCCCCTAGTTCCTCCTTGTCATGGAAGCATCTTGTTTCTCCATTAATTCTGAGAGACAGTTTTTCAGGGAACATCAATCTGAGTTGGAGGTTATTTTCATCCAGGGCTTAGAATTCTTTGCTCCAAGCTCTTTTTTTTCTTTTTTCTTTTTTGAGACAGGGTCTCGCTATGCAGTTCAGGCTGGCCTTGAGCTCACTTTGTAGCCCAGGCTGGTCTCAAACTCCAAATGATCCTCCCTCAGCCTCACGGGTGCTGGAATTACAGGCATGAGCCACCACGCCCGGCTCCAAGCTATTCTTGATTTGATGGTTTGTATCAAGAAGTCTGTTGTGATTTTGATGGGTTTTCCTTTATAGATGATCTGTTTCTTTTCTCTGACAGCTTTTAATATTCTGTTCTTATGATGAATTTCTGGGATCTTTATTATATGTCTGGGAAATAGCTCTGTTTTGGTTGTAGGTGGGTGGAATTCTGTATGCCTCATATATCTGAATTATCTGAATATCATTTCCTTTTCCTATGCTTGGGAATTTTTCCTTAATTATTTCTGTGAATAGCCTTTGTATCTCCTTTGTGTGTACCGCTGCTTCTTCACTCACATTTTTTATTCTTAAGTTATAGATCCTCTTGTTGTCTTCTAGCCTTTGTTTTGTTACTGCCTGTTTCCTTGTTATTTTTAAGAGATCTTTCTTTTCATGATCAGACATTGCAAACCTATTTCAAGTTTTGTTAATCTATCTGTAGTTTCTGTCAGACAATTTTTCCAGCTTTCAATGGAGTTTTTAATTTCCTGGTAATCTCTTTGTATCTGTTTCATGTATTCTAGGTTTTCTTTATATTCTTCATCAGACATTTCTCTCCTTTTTTGTGTTCCTTCATCCTTCCATCTATGTCTTCTTGAGAGATACTTAGCATTTCTTTTATTAATCTCATATCTTGCTTTACTTGAATTAACATTTCAATTTTGAGCTCATCTATATATCTCTTTATGTCAGCTGATGCCGTGTCTGATATTGCATGTTTGCTGCCCTCAATCTCTTCTGTATTTACCTCTCCTGGATCAATATTTTCTGAGTTAGGGGCTGGGAGCTTTTTTTCCCTTTCTTTCTTTCTTTTCTTTGTGGGGGATACCAGGGATGGAACTCATGACCTCACATTTGCCAGGTGAGTGCTTATGCTGCTGAATTAAATCCCTGGCCCTTATTTCTTTCTCATGTTTTTGGTTTCTTCCATACAGGTGTATAGTGGAGGTCCTAGCCCCTTTCCTTGTTGGCTATGGTTCTTCTGAAGTGCGCTGGCTAGGGATTTCTGCCCTCTCCAGTTTGCTGTTGGTCACTGAGGTGCAAGCAGGGCAGTGTATGCTGGCCCCTCCCCTCAAGCCAGCCAACCAGTGGGGGCTTTCACCATGTTAGTGTGTGCCACACTCAGGAGAACTTTAGGGACAATTTCATCCCCGGCAGTTGGGTCCCACCCAGGGACATCCCTGGCAATTTGGTCACCCAGCCCACACAGATCCCACCAATCTGCTCTGGGGAGGAAACAACTGACTGAAATCACTGCCCTTCCTTGTTCATGCCTGTCCTGCCCGATTCCAGTATGTTGTCCAGTCAGTCGCCCCTTTAGTGTGGGAGGGTCTTATTCCGAGCACTCACCACAGATTAGTGCAGGTCTCCACGCCGGCTCTGTTGTCCATTGGGCTCACTGACCTTGGTCTTCAGTGCGACTGAAGCTCAAGTCTGGGCAGTTCCAGTGAGAACACTATGGCCACAAATCTGAGCGGCTCCAATGGTAGCTCTGTGACCCTGAGTTTGACCAGGGTTTAGTTTTTTCGTGGATTGAGACGGATCCATTTCCCTCCTTCTGGTCTTCTCCAGGATGTTTTATTCCAGCATCTGAGCTGTTTCTCTCTGGGAGGCTCTTTATTTTGCTGCTTACTGATCTGCCATCTTTAGCTCTGCCAACTTTTTTTTTTTTAAGCACTATGAACTCCAGGATAAAACCTGCTTTTCTTTTATCTTAAATTATGGTTTTTGGAGTTTTTGTTCATTTGTTTTGTAGATGTCCCTCCAAATCCTTATGTACTCATAGGTGGAACTTTGGGGAGTTGATTGGACCATGGAGGTGAGACACCCATTGGTGCATTAGTCTACTATGAGTTTAATAACTGTATATGATGTTGAGAAATGAAGCCAGACTGAAGGAGGTGGGTGTCTGGAATGTTGGCCTGAAGGGCCCTCCCTGCCTCCTCCTCAAGCTCTGTGCTTCCTGTCTGCCAGGGTATGAACAACATTTCTTGGCCATGCACCTCTGTCATGCTACCCTGCTACACAGTCAACTGATTTTGGACAAAAACCTCTATAGACTGAGCCAAAATAAATCTCTCCTCCTTTAAATTGTGGGTGTCAGGTATTATGTCTCAGCAGTAAA